AGCTCATCCCACTACTGTGTGACAGAGCTGCGAATTCAAAGTAGCTCATTCTGACTGGAGCCCTGGCTGCACACCAGTCACTCTGAAACAGAAGCATGCATCAAAACCATCTGGAGGGCTGGTGCAAACACAGATGGCTGGGCCCGGCTCAGGCTGTCAGATGCAGTGGATCTGGACCAAGGCCCAGGAATCTGCATTTCTAATACGTTCTCAATGATTGCACCGATGCTGCTGGGTCAGAGATCACACATCATCAACCAGATACCGCACTGGAATAGTTTCCTATGGCATCAAGCTGTTTTTTCACTGACATGGTGTAAGGGTTAAAGAGATTGGTCCCTCATTTCCTCCTGAGATCTTGAGGACTGTTTCTGTTTTACAGAAATTTTCTATCCCACCCCTCTGATATTAGAGACGATCCCATGCACCATGTTGGTGTCAACAGCGTTCAATAGCTGCTACCTCCAATGGGATGGGAGTCAAGGGAAAGGGAACAGAGCGACTTGCTCCTGCTTCTATTGAAAACACCCCTCACCAGAAAGAAATTCATCCTAGGATGTAAGAAAGATGCAAACCAATGGGATAACATCCCAAAGGAGCAAGTAAAATACCAGCCAATGGGAATGAAAGGAAATTTAAGAGAAAAACAATCCATCAAGAGGAGGTTTTTTTTCCCTTGTTCCAACCTCCTTTTCCTATCCTAGCCAATTATAATTAGATAAAGAACAAGAAGAACCAATCACTTTTCTTCTTAACCTACTCCTCTTTCCCACTAAACAGTAGCAAGCAAGCAAACATACTACAAAGATGGTTTGTCTATATAAAACCTGAGTTAGAGAAGCACAGAGATAACATGAGATTTCTATGAGACTTGTTGATCCTTTGATGTTATAGTGAATCAGCCAGAACACACTCACCCATTCATACACTGCACATGTTTATGAATCCCTATGCTAGATGCTAAGAGACACATACACACACAGAGAGGGTTTTATCTCTAAGGAGCTTACATGCAAGGTGAAAGGTAAGCATATAAACAGGATTAATGAAGAAGGACAGGACTAGATGAATGGTTAAAAAAAACCACTTAAGAGCCCAGAGTAAACAGACATTGCTGTGGATAGACGCTACAGAGGTGGTAGATGCTAAGCCTGGGTCTTCAAGACCAGGATAAATGTGGATAGATGGAGCGGAGTAGAGAGAGGCATTAAAGAGGCAAAAGATGTGGTATGAACAAAGCAGAAGAGTGAATGTCACAGGCGACTCCCTGAAGAGAGCTGTCCCAGGTCGGGAAAGCCCAGCCAAGGAGGAGCTTGAGTTTATCTCGAGGATGCTCAAGGACCAGAAAGGCTTTACAAAGGAAAGGAAAGTTATGACTTTAGAGAAATGCCAACCATTTGACCCTCCTTCCTGAATGCTGGCGCTGGATTCCTCCCTCCCATCACCCAGGCTGCCTTTGTTTCTAGAGGCTAGTAACTAACTGTGCATGAAGATCCTGCCAGATAGCTTTCCATATCTCTGTCTGGATGACCAGGGCAAGTTTTTCTTTTTAAGACTCAAGAGACTACTCCTGATTTGATTGCCAATGCCTGTGATTGGTGCCTGTAAATTCCATTCCAAGCAAGGCGAGAATGAATCAACTTTTAAGGAGTTCACAGGGACCAATTCTGTCTCCACTTTTAAACTATATACACAAAACATTTGGGAACTCCCAAATCTACTTGCTTCCCCACAAAAGAGCTTTACTTGGATGGCTCATTCCCATAATTCTAGCTATTCAGGAGGCTGAGATCTAAGGACTATAGTTCAAAGCCAACCCATGAAAATAAAGTCTCAAGATTACTATTTATCTCCGATAAACACCTCCCCCAACAACAACAACAACAACAACAAAAAAGCAGCCAGAACTACAAATGTGGCTGGAGAGTAGAGCCTCAGCCATAAGACAGTATGAGATGCTTAGTTCAAGACCCAATATCCGCACAAAAACTAATGGGTGAGGAAACCCTTACATAGCTTCCTTATTTTCCACAGTTCTTCCATGTATGATATTTTTAGTGTTACGCAGAAAGATATGCATGACAATAAGAGACGATACTAAACTCCATAGGTTTTAACTGGATTTAATGTAATATGAAAGACTGTGTACTACATCAGATTTATTTCCCAATACCAAATGCCAATAGCATCACTTACTAATTAATGAATATTGAATGAGTGAATTAATGAACAATAACCAATGAACAACCAATGGGAAAAGCATAGGTGGACAGATTCATTTGCAACTCTAGCTACCGAATGTCCAGTACATTCTGGGGCTACACAATCTCAGATTTACTCCTTACATGACTTGTTACTATTTCCTGTGAAAGATATGCAGTCTGAAAGTGAAGTAAGCCAGGTCCAAAGGAACATAGGCCCCATGGTTTCCCTTATTTGCAATAACTAGTATATGTCTGAAACAAGCAGAAAAGATCAGATAAGTTGATGTTAGGTGAAATGAACCCCAAGATAAGTATTCAAATGTTTCTTTTTCTTTCATGCAATTGTTTCTAACATATTTATAAGATGATTTCTTTGTTGCTTTGTATGTCCCTTCCCCATGGTATAACCCCTGCTTTCACTGTATTTGATGTTGGTATAATTTGTGGAGGGGAAGGGAAAAAAACAAATCATTTTTTCCATTGCAACAATGAGATGTTCAAGTCATTATGTTGAAAAACAAACTTTACAACTTTGGCGGGGGGGGGGGGGGGGGGAGGGTGTGTTATGGGGGGTGGGTGGGAAGGGGAAACAAAGGAGGAGGCTACAATGCTTGATAAGAAATGTACTCATTATCTTGCCCATGTAATTGTAACTCCTCTGTACGGTATTTTCACAATAAAAAAAAAAGATATGCAGTCTGAGACTGCGCAACTTCACTCACTCTAGAATTGATCAGCTTACCCAAGAATTCATAGCCAGATAGGCTAACTCCAAGACCAATACTTTTGTTGAACTTTCCCAGAATTTTTCTAATCATAACTAACACCCTAAAGGGTATTGCTATAGTTCCAAGACCCTTAGGTTCTGACTCAGTGGGTTTACTGCCAAACTGAGTCTACTTTGTCCACCATGACCTTTACCAATCTCTGAAATGACAAATCCTTGAAGAGTAAGCCAGGCTATTAATTAGCCAATGGTTCATCATGATCTATACATCAGCAGTGTTATCTACAGCAAAGCTAATGGAAGACTATATTATTCAGCTGTGTGAGTCCACTATTAGTATGGTTTAAAGTTAACTAAAAGCAAATACTAAAAGCAAATTTTAAAAAGCAAATGAGGCTAGAGGGTTAATCCTCTTTGTTTAAGTTGGTGCATGACAAGAATCATATTTCTTATGGGATTTTTTTTCTGTTCCAGGGGCTTGAACTCTGGGCCTGAGATGCTTTTGCTTAAGGCTAGAGCTCTATCATTTGAGCCACAGCTCCCCTTCAAGCTTTTTCTGAAGATAAGAGTCTTACCAACCTTCTTGCTTGGGCTGGCTTCCAACTGCAATCCTCAGATCTCAACTTCCTGAATAGCTAGGATTACAGGCATGAGCCACCAGCACCTACCTTTCTTGTGCTTTTTGAAAAAGAGTTCAGGGATCTTCATAGCTGGAGATCTGTTAGGACCACTTTAGCAGTGATTAAAGCTCTAGATAACTTGGCTTCACACAAAATCAGTGAATGGAGTTGGGGGGAAGAAATCCCTGGGTATGGATGTTTGTATGCTCTCCAATGCACATCCAGAGCTGAGAGCCACATAGTAATTGCGTGGAATTACCAAGTGACCACCCACCTCAGCACCTCTTTCCTTCCTGCCCTTCAAAACCCAGTTCTACTACAACGGAGTCCGGAGGGCAGAGGATGTGCTTCAGCGGTACTGTGCTTTCCCGGCAGGTGTAAGGCCCTAAGCTTGAGCCCCAGCACCTCAAAACACAGAATGCATCTTCTCTGCACTATAATGTAGGTCACAAGGAAAAGCAGAGATTTTTTTTTTTAAGAAAGAAGGCAGAAAGGAGAGAGATAAGAAACTATTTGTAATGAGCAGTTAGGGAAGAGAAAATGAATGCTGCCAAAGACAAAGGTGAAAGAGGTGTAAGGAATGAAGAGAAAGGTTTGAGGCTCATCATCAAAGCAATATAGCAGCTCTAAGCAAAAGTTAAATAAAGCAGACATTTATGTAAGCATTTTGCCCTCACATAAAAGCACATTTTTTTTGCTGTAGAGGTCAAAGCAATTTTATATTTTTATATATTTATCCTTCCCAGTGACAAAGGTTGAGGATCAAAAAATTGTTTATCTTGGGGGGGGGGGGGGAGCACTGAGGCATGCTGGGAGAAAACAGCCAGATCTGACTTCAGAATTGGAGTCAAGTGACTTGCCTAGTGTTAAGTTCTTAAATTGACTATAGCTTCTGCTATAAGTCACACGTTAATTTCTTCAACCGTAAGATGTGTGTGGATTCTCTCACAGATCATTGTGAACTGGTACTTGGGAGAACAGGGAAGCATTAATGTCCTTATGCAACTCTTCAATGCTACACATCAATAAGAGTGTCCAAAATATTGGGAGTAAATCCATGTCAGACTTCTAGGTTGGCATATGCATATTAGAGCTGCTTCTAAAAGGATGAAAGCAAAGGTGGAATTTAAGTGCAGAAAGTGTAGCTAGCTATAAGATTCTGGAGAAGGATGAGTTTAAACTGCTGATTACAATTTAGCGAATGCTGGATTGTTTGGCAAATAAGTCATCAAAAGAGAAGCGAAGATCCTCCCTCCTGCCTCCTCCAGTGAGCAGCCTTTCACCTTTGGTTAATGAAATGGAGCAGTTGGTGCCTTTAACTCCTCTTTCATTTAATCTCGTTAATGCAGTCTGTTGGAAATCTAGCTATGGGATAATGGAGGGGCGGTTGTCAGACCTCAAGTGAAAAGTGGAATCTTTCTCAGTGTGGCTTTTAGTTGCTCCATCAAAATGTGTGAGAACCACCTCAAAAGTAAAGCTGACGCCACTGGTGAGTGTGACATTTGCTTCTTTCTCCCGATGTTTAGCTGTGTGAATGAATGTCAGGCAAGAAAGTCAGTGTTTAGAAGCTCTCAGCAATATGCATGGGTGGCTAGGGGTGTGTGTGTGTATGTGTGTGTGTGTGATGACAATAAATTCATTTGTGACTAGAGAATATGTATTACAAACCAGCTTAATTTGATACTGAAGATGATGTTTAAATACAAATCTTGTCGTATCCTTAGGTGAATTACCACATGTATGTAAGGGGGCAGGGGGAATTTAGCCATCATATGCTCTCATTCGTTTAACAACATGAACACCCTTGTCATAATTTTGTTATTTCATTTCAGCCACTAATATATCTATAGTTAAGATCACTTTTGTAATTAGAAACCAAACCAATCGTGTCACACGAATGGAGGGAGGAAGGGTAAGCAAATGCAGCATTATGTTTAATGTGCATTATATAAAATTTAAACTCTGTAACCTGAGGTTAGGGATGCAGTGGTAAAAACAGGGAGACTGGTCGAAGGGGTGGTGTTGATCAAGACGCGTTGTACTCATAGTCAGACTTACAGAATTGAAACCTCTTCGTACAACTTCTTAATAATAAAACATCAATGAGATGCATGATTTATGCCAGACACTTTCATCGTGTGTAAGAAATCCATTTCAAAACATTTTATTTGGTCAAAGAGTTATCAACTCTTTAAAAAAATTGGAAGGGGAAGGTTCCTTTTAAATTTTTCTTTAGGTAAGTCATGACAGAATTCCACAAACACACATTTCCTGACAACATAGGTATGTCTCCATACTTATTTTTAAAAATATTTCAAAGTAAAATGCTTACATCAAATTTCTTAATAGCAGTAGCTGGAAATATTAAAATGTAAAATAACGTAATTATGTGTTTAAAACAATGATAACTTTGCAATTGTTCCCCCCCCCAAAAAAAGAACTAATCAAACGAAGGCTCTTTATACCTCTAAACTCAGAAACACATCTTTCCACAGTGCTTAGGACCTTCTAATCCCTATATTTTTCAAAAAGAATAGATACTATCTCTATGCTACAAGGGACCAATGTCAAAGTCTATGTACTTGAAGATTTTTGCTATTGAAGGAAGTCATTGACAACAGGTTGTAGTTCTGACATCAATGGAGTATTTAAATGACTGTTTATCCTCCCTATTGACAGATTTACTTGGGATATTGTTGCTATTGTTGTGTAGAAATTAGTATCACTGGACATATTAACATCTATGTACTTAATCCTCTTTGGGTCTCAATCACAATTAAGCGAGGCTCACAGGTGAACAGATATGTTTCTCTCTTCCATGATTTTATACAAAAACACTAAACACACTGTTACCTCTTAGTGTAGTTTTACCAAACACAATGTTTCATTTTATGGATTTTCTTACATAGACACATAAACATCTAAACAAATGTGTTTGAGAACATGGATGCTATTCTCTTTAAATTGTAGTGGGATTCAAAGGTATATTCTTAAAGAGTCAGAAATTTTTTAATTATTGCAAAATCCTTGGTACTATGCTTAGCAATTTCCATTTTTTACCAGTCTTTTTCCTCTAATACATTTTTTTAAAACAACTAAGAATCTGTTCAGCTTTATAACTAATTCAGACCTTCAGAGAAATGGGTGAACAAAAACCACAAAAATTTAATCCACCTGGTAGCATCCGAATGCCTTTGATACAAATTATTGCATACATAAAAAACAGCATTAAAAATGACCACAAACATCTCCATTTAAACATCACATTTGTGAACCAGTGGCTCACATCTGTAATCCTAGCTACTCAGGAGGCTGAAATCTGAGAATTATAGTTCAAAGCCAGCCTGGGCAGAAAAAAGTCCATGAGACTCTTATCTCCAATTAACCAACAATAAGCTACAAGTGGAGCTGTGGTTCGAGTGGTAGAGTGCAAGCCTTGAGCAAATAAACAAATAAATAAAAATAAAAAAAAGGAGAGTGTGAAACTAAGTACTTGAGCAAATAAATAAAAATAAAAAAGGAGAGTGTGAAGTACTTAGTACTAAGTACTAAGTCAAGCCTCAGCACAATAAAATCAAATAAAATAGATACAACCAAGTATTACAAATGACAGTTATGAATGTTCTTGTAGGAAAAACCATTCAAAAGTTGGAAATTTCCTTTCTATTCTTCTGATCTTTTTTAACAATGACACAGTGGTGGTGTTTCAGGGAACGAAAAGGTATGTGCCCGTGTTCACACAACTTCACCAGCTTACATAAACACGGAGTAAAGCTGCCTGGGATTATGAACAGCATGCTGGCTCTGATGAGCTCAAAAATAAGATAGCTTGGGTCCCATAATATTTAGGATTATGCTGGTAATCTCTTTAGGAAAAAAGTATGCAGTATCAGCAGAACAGGCCCTTGAGTCTTGGAAGGAGCTATAAGGAATTCTAACTGTGTTGGTGGCTAACCCTTTGGCCCAGACCCACCCTGACAAGAGACCTTTGTGGTAGAACATAGCACCTGGTAGCCCAGGGTAGAATTTAGAGGACAGAGCTTCTGTAATAATATATACTAAGTGTTTGTTTTACCCTTGAAGCCATTTCTGGGGCTACATGCAAAGGAGAACTTATTCCCTCAAATTTCCTGGGTCTCCTTTTTTTCCACAAAGCCATATGAATAGGAATGGACTCGATGCAAATATGCCTTTCTCTTAGCTCTGAACTCATTTCACTGTACAGGTGGACAAGATTTAATGTTGTCTCTTTATTTCCACAATTTCTTTTAAATCAATTCAAGGCTGAAGTGATGAAGGCTAAAATGCAAGTTTGCCAGGACATAAATAGTATAATAATAATTCTCAAGACAGACATTTGCACACAGTATTTAGCAAATTGTGGCACTGTTTTTGATAATAAACAAGAATTCCTATCATCTCAGCTGTGACTGAAAGAGCATTGATATCACAAATGTCTCTGTCTCTCCCCCTCTGTATCTATTTATCTACACACACACACACACACACACACACACCTATCTGTGCCTGTCTCTCTTTCTTACACACAAGAAGAGATGTGAATATCATACTTATATTCTATAATCCATTTCTAAAGCCAATTGGCTACATAAATGGCTATAGATGCATTTTAATGTTTGTGATCTTCTGCCTCTCCATCCCAAGCTAGTGCATCTATGCACTACTTTGCTAAGAACCTGAGTTTTTAACTCAGCTTTGAATAACCAGAAGTACAATGGCTACAAAGACTGAGATTAATTTTGTAAAACACTGTGAATCTGTCCTTTAAAGTGAATAAACATTTGGCCTTTCCACCAACAACAAATGCGCGATCTTTTGTTCTGTATCTTCTGTGGCACTTGGTATAGCCAGGGTTTGGAATGATCTGTGTCCTTAGAAATGCAAGGTAGCAAATTGTTTACATTTGTCACTCAATACATGTTTCGCAGTATCATTAGCAGGCTCTTCAGATCTTTTGCCCATTTTTTTCAAGTTTAGGACTAATTTATATATTTGGGGCACACATTCTTTATCAAATGTGTTTTGCAATATTTTTTTCCAATTCTGTAACTAATATCTTCATTCTCCCAATGTAATTTGATGTTTAAAATAGAAAAAAAAAACTGTGTTTTCAGGGCTTCTTGTGCATCTGACTTTGACTACAACCTTCTCACATGAGGTCAAATTTTGAATTTTCCATTTGTGTTGTCATGTTAGAGCTCAGATACTTTCAGATTTTGGAACATTTCAGATTTTTTTAAGTTTGGTCAGGGAATTACAGCTGTATTCTCAGTTGTTAGCAAAGAGGGAACTGCTCTGTGCTGTGTCAGAGATTTGTATCACGGCTCCAACTCCTTGAATTTTAAAAGAAAGGAAAGGAAAAAAATATCCACATCATATAAACTACAATCTGTTCTAGCCAAAGCACCATCAACACGTAGTAGTAGATTGTCTGCTATGTGCTGTACCTCCATAGAGAGATGAAGACAGAGATAGAGAAGGAGATGGAGGTAGAGGTGGAGGTGGAGGTGGAGATGGAGAAGAAGGTGGAGGTAGAGGTGGAGATGGAGATGATACTGGAGGTGGAGATGAAGATGAAGTTTTCCCCAGCCAGGCATTTTTAGTTCTCTACCGTGTCTGGGCACAACGCCAGAGAGAAAACTTAGAGCCATTCAGTTGACTTTGGCATCGTCTTGACTTTGCAATTTCCTTCTCCAAGAGGAAGTAAACTAATACACTTGCCCAGTAAACACCTTCGGTATGGTGCGATGTGTACGTAGCAAAAAATCCTTGACATCCCTACATATTGCTGCCTTATTTCTACAGCTGCTGAATGTGTTTTTTAAAATAATTTGTATTTCCTATTCATTTCAATAGGGGGAGGAGAGAGCACATCATTTTTCATTACTCATAATTCTTCTTTTTTCTTTCATTGGTATAAGAAAGAAAATAGTGGGCTGGGAAGGTGGCTCAGTGGTAGAGCGCTTGCCTTGCATGCCTGAGACCCTGGGTTCCATTCCTCAGCACCACATAAGCAAAAAGAAAAAAGCCGGAAGTGGGGCTGTGGCTCAAGTGGTAGAGCGCTAGCCTTGAGCTGAAGAGCTGAGGGACAGTGTCCAGGCCTAGAGTTCAGGCCCCACGACCGGACCCCCCCAAAAAAATTTTTTTAAAAAGAAAATAGTTACAAATATCCCATCTCCTCTGAGCCTTCACTTACTAATATACCTTGAAAAGAATTTCTTTTCTTGGTGAAAATACTTCTACCTCTTTACCCACACCCAAATCTCTTAAGAAGGTTTTCTGCTTATGAATTTGTTTTTTAAAAAATAACTTCTTTCATATGCTTTTTTTTTCTCTCTGAAAGGAGATGTTTTGCCCTTTTTGAATTATTCTCTAGGAAATAAACTCTGACTAGTCCCTCTGAGCAATCCGAGAAACTTGATTTTTATTCCTTTATCTCTCCCCTTCACTGATGGTGGTGCTGAATAA